GAATAAAATGTGTTACTTAAATATCTAAACAATTTAAAAAGCTCAAATATTTAAATTAATTGATAAACAATTTATAAATCCCTATTTTATTTAAATATGTAATTTTAATTAAAATAAATTTAAATATAGCAAAATTTATTTATAAATCATATTGATCCTACCAGTTCAACCGACTGGTGTTGACGGATTCGATAGCAAATATTTTGTTTAAGTGAACTAGACTGATTATAAACTGGTTGTCGGTCCCTCCGGTCAGACTGTGTCCAACACGATTTAATTTTAAAACTATGGCTAAATCTTAATTAATTTATTTTTATATTTAATTTATGACACAATTGTAATATTGTTTTCTCGTGCATCCACGCTGTTCATCGGAGAGCTACACACTAGTACTTCTCTAAAGCAGCCCCTTTATCTGAAACAGATTAGCATGAGCAGGACAATTGTTAATATATTTTAACATAAACCCAAATCCATGTTGATGTTGAAGATATGGGAATGCCGATGTCGAAGAACGTTGGTTCAAGACCCCCCTTCAGTTCCAGGTATTTATCGAGGAATCTATCATCAATTCAACTCACATAAGCATGAACAAATCGAAGCCCGACAATTACACGTTAAACAAAAACAATCATCCAATATCCCTTGCAATCGAATTTAGCTACGAATATCAAATTCAACAATCATGATCAATCCTCTCAAATAATCATTATTCATGAATCAAATAAGATAAACGAATACTTACAATCAATCCAAGTTCCAGTCGACTTCGAAATACAAGCTAAACCCTAACTAAGAAGAATAAGAAGAAAAATGGAAAATAATAGTGAAAAGAAGAAGAAAAATTGAGAAAGAAGAAGAAAAGAGAAGAAGAGAAGGAGAGAGTCGTGAAGTTCTTTTCTCAGACCTAGGTTTTCACCTGGTCGAGATGTGTCTCGAGTCTCGAACAAGTTCTCTTTTATATGGTTTGAAAAACCGAGCAAAAACGAGAGAGAACGAAAAAAAAAAAACAATTCTGCGCCCGCGACCGCGGCGCTATGGGTCGCGGGGCTTGGGCGTCTGGCCGTCGTTATGGGCGCGCTTCGCTGGTAGCGCCGCTAGCTGGGTTGGCGATAGCGGAACTATGGCCATAGCGGCGCTATGGCCCGGCAGTCTTGCATGATTTCACGGTTTGGGCTCGTTCGGGCTCGTTTGGACTCAGAATTCGATTCCGCTTTTTCCTGTGTGTTGCCAAAGAACTCATCTATTTAATTATGCTTGCAAAATAAGCTTTTGCCCATAATTAGGTCCTCCCGAAGCTTCAAACCTATACACCATAAACAAAGAAAAAAACCGAAAAAATACACGAAAACACAAGAAAAACCGAAATAGATCAAATCAAGCAATAAACTACAAAAACGAATAAAACCCAACAAAAAGACTCAATATGGGGGAAAAATAAAGACAAAGAGACAACGAAAAGTGCAACAAAAATGGGACAAACACATTGTATCCCAACTAGAAAAGTAAACGAGCCCTAGATGAATACTCATAGTTGGGGCTGTTTAGTGTGTGTTTGTTTATAAATATATTGGTATTTGATTTTATTTTGTTTATTAACTAGTGTTTATTTTGAAAAATTTAGTATTACTAGTATTTAGTGCTATTTTAAGTTTGTATTAGAATCTTATTTAAAATAACTTGATTAAAATTGATTTGATGTAAAAGTAGAACATAAATGATTGAAAGTAATAAATAGTCAATATTAGGTGAGTGGATGAATATTAAATTAAATTTGATGTGATACCTAAGGATGATTGATTGATATTGTTTAATTATATTGATGATAATGAGGTTGAGTTAAAATTAAGTTGAGATTTTTTTTTATTTTTTATTTTTTTGTTTATTTATGTAAACAAGCAAGCCCTTAAGGGGTAATTGGATATAAATATAACAAAAATAAAATCTTAACTCAAATCTAACTCGAGTTTATAATCATTATTATTATGAATACAATTAAAAAATATAAATCAATCATTCTTACGGATCATATAAATTTAATTCATTATTCATCCACTCACATAATTTTAACTACTCAATACTTCCTATTATCTATATCATACTTTTATATAAGTCAACATTAATTATTTTATTTTAACACAACTTGAAAGTCTCATTTAAATCTACCCCAACAATTTTTTTCAAAATTAATTCTAACTAGTACAATATTCGTGTATTCAAAGGGTAATGAGTTAAAATAAATGTTATTTCTAAAATAAATGTTTTATTTAAAAAAATTGATGGACGGATTGATGAAAAAAGAGAAGAATAGACAGAAAGGGATTTGTAAATCGTAATTTGGGAGAAAAATATTAGAGAAAATTATAAGATGGTAAGATTCTTACTTGCTCAAACTAAGAAAAGAAATTTATACTAAGAGAAAAAAAAAGTAACAAATTAAATATAAACTTACCCAAGTTTAAAATTAAAAAAGTTATTTATGTCTATACCAAGCCTAAGTCCAGAAACATTCTGAAACATAGATTTCGTCATTTCAGCATCCGAAGCGTGTGACTCTGTCACTTAGGGGATTGTATTCAATTAGGACTTTTAGAGACTTTAAGACTTTTGAAACTCAACACATTTTGAATTAATAGTTTATATAAAAAGAATTACCATTTAACAAAAATAGTAGTAAAAAAATAGGAGAGAATTTATGCAACCTATAAATAGTAAGTTTTATTATTATTTTTTATTTTTATCTTAAAAAAATCATACAACATTAAATGTTGCATTAAATGGGCTTTAATTCATTTTATTATTTAAAAATTTCTGCTAAGATCTATTAAGTGTGCATTTATTTTTTTTTTTTTAAAACATAGAAACAACGAAGAACAATAAAATCTTTGTCTCTATATTTATAAAATCTCAATTCAAAATGTAATAAAATTTTTAGAATATCAGTCTTTATATTTATGCATTTAAAAAAAAAAAAAAAATTGAATGTTATTCTTTCAATATCATTTTCCACTAATCATCACAATTTTTTTTATTTGGAATGTGTGATAATAAACATTGTAGTGTTTATAAATTTTGTTTACCAATCTATGTTTTTTCTATACTCGGTAAAATTCTTAGTCTCCATAATTGTGTATTTAAAAAAAATATTTAATGATGATATATTATTTTTTAATAGTACACAATTTTGAAAACTTCACTATAAATTGTATGTTGATATCGAAATCATTTTATAAATGCAATCAACTTTGTTAAATCTCCACGAAAATATGGTAAAATAAATTGAGATGATCAACTTTGTATAGAAATAAAATAAAATCAATTTCAATATTAAGTTCACATGAAATTTACATAATGAATAATTTGTATAGCACACGGATCTAAAAAATAATACTCATGTGAATTCTAAAATTTCAAACTTATCATTTTCTGGAAATTGAATATTATATTGTACACCAGATTTTTTTAAATAATTTTAGACATATTTTATTTATAAATAGTTTAGAAAAATTTTAGATGACTTCACATCGTTGATAATGATATATAAAATTTTAGATATTTTACATACGTTATTAATATTTTAGGTTTTTTAATATTTTAAACATATTTTTTTTGTTATTTTATACAAAATAATTCTATATTGCTTAAAACTGATATACGATAAATTATGTCACATATTAACACCACATCTTAATTACAATTATTAGTTTATCTTTGTATTAGTATTTGATCATGTGCATTTGCATAGATATAAAACACGTTTTTGTTTGTATTCATTAATTAGACATGTACTTCTATCATATAAAAAATATTACTTCTTCTTAAGTTATTTTTATCATTTAAAATTAATTGAGATGTAAATTATTTTTAACCATGCATCGTTTAAATTCACCAACTAGTATTATATATTTACAGATTTAATTTATAATTATTATTTATTATTGTTTGCTATCATAGTTAATTAATGATGATCATTTAATCTATCTATACTTATATAAAAAGCCATCATATTTACTAAATTTAGTAGAAAAAAAATAGGTTAGCATTTAATGCTACCCATAAATAGTAGCTTTATTACTTTTCTTAATTTTTTCTTTAAAAATCATACAATTTAATATATAAATACACTTTAATATAATCATACAAATCATACAATTTAATTTATAAAAATCATACAATCTATTTTTTCTTTAAAATACGCTTTAACATATTTATATATATATATATATATATATAGTACTTTTTGTAATAAATTTGAATAAAATGTGTTACTTAAATATCTAAACAATTTAAAAAACTCAAATATTTAAATTAATTGATAAACAATTTATAAATCTCTATTTTATTTAAATATGTAATTATATTTAAAATAAATTTAAATATAGCAAAATTTATTTAGAAATCATATCGATCCTACCAGTTCAACCGACTGGTGTTGACGGATTCGATAGCAAATATTTTGTTCAAGTGAACTAGACCGATTATAAACTGGTTCTCGGTCCATCCGGTCAGACTGTGTCCAACACGATTTAATTTCAAAATTATGAGTAAATCTTAATTAATTTATTTTTATATTTAATTTATAACACAATTGTAATATTGTTTTGCATCCCGCTGTTTATCGGAGAGCTACACACTAGTACTTATCTAAAGCAGCCCCTTTATCTGAAACAGATTAGCATGAGTAGGACAATTGTTAATATATTTTAACATAAACCCAAATCCATGTTGATGTTGAAGAACGTTGGTTCAAGACATTTATCGAGGAATCTATCATCAATCGAACCCAAACCCTCGCTTCACATTTCATTAGGGTTTCGTCGATTCGATTTGGGAATGTCGATGTTGAAGAATGTTGCTGGAAGACCCCCTCAAGTTCCAGTTATTTCTCGATGAATCTCTCATCAATCGAACCCATTCCCAAAAGCCATCAGGAACTTGAGATAAAGCTGCCTCTTTTGCTTCGTTCACATGGAAACAACACTGAACGACACCTCCAATTTATGCGTAACTATTTCTCTCTGCTTTCCTGGGACGACAAATCGTTATCCGCACGACAACTCCACTTGCCATTTCCTACGATTAAGGATGTGAGCTATTGTGATGGCGTGGTGTGCCTCGACGATGGGTTTATTGACGATAGAGTTGCCCTTTGGAACCCGTCGACTAACGAATTCAAGTTCCTTCCTAAGACCAGCATCCAGCTCCATCCAGATGCTGATTATCTCATGTTTGAATGTCCCGTGATTGGGTTCGATAGTAATTCTCAACATCTTAAAGTACTAAGGTTCGTGACAACCGTTTTAGTGATGAAGATGATTTTGTGGACATGACGCAACAATTGGAGTTGTACTCCCTAAAGTCTGATTCTTGGGAGGAATTACCTTATAATCTTTCTCATGAGTGCTCCAATAATTCTGTTTCCGTAACTGGGGTTGCTTATTGGTGTGTGGAGAGAAACGCTGGGATGGCACTTCTTACCTTTGACTTTGCAAGTAAACAGTATTCTTTCCTTGATCTTCCGGATTCGGCTAACCGTGATGTGAAATTTTATAGACTGCATCTTGCCGAGCGGGATGGGTCGCTTGCCACTATAACCTACCCAAATTATGGAGAGGAAAAAACTTTTGAATTGTGGGTGAGAAGTCACGATGGTTCGTGGGAGTGGATATCCACCTTTTGTGTTCCTGGTGCTGAGGCGCCATTAGGGTTCTGGACAAAAGATGATCTGCTTTTTCGAGGCAAAGGTGAATATCTAATCCTTTATCACATTGTCACTCAAGAGGTTAAGCATCTTAATATCTCTGATGATCTTTTTCGTCTCAAGTTTGTTCCTTGTGTGGAGAGTGGATTTCAGCTTGTTGGGAAATCAGAGTTTGAAAACAAAGATGTATAGTAATATTCTGAGAATAGTACTCAGTATTTGGTGTAGCCTATTTTAAACTTATGGTGGTGATGTGTTTTGTTGTTTCCTGGTAATTTAATAAAGACACAGTCATTTGGATACATCAACTCTCGAACTTTTACGAGGATGTTTTTTCTTGCTGTATCTGTTGATAATTTGATATCTTGCATATTCTAAAGTTGTATGACGTGACCTATGGTAACTAAATGCTCTATATTCTTATGATTCAAATGGTTTCTGAAATTAAGTTGTTTCTTTTTTTCTCTTTGATTCTTGTTGAACATATGAGAAAATTCTCAAGGATACAAAATTTAAGAGTTTCAATCTTCTATGTATTATTATAAAAGTTATCTACAGATTTTTACTTTTTTGATGTTAAAATCATCAATTTTGTGTTGAGTATGAGATGATGTGTACATTCTTTCAGCTGTAGGAGGCCACGTGGCCATTAAATAAAACGATGTCGTTTGGGCTATAGAATGATGTCGTTTTTCCCTCTGTGAAACGACACCGTTTTGTAGCGAGCTAGGTTACTTTCGGGTGGGTGTTTTTGGTTTGCTCACAACTCAAAAGCATAATTTGCAAAAATGGTTTCTCGGGGACGTCGTCACCCTCGACTAGCGACTTTGCGTCGTCGTCTCTCGGCCTCCACATGGAAATCGGTCAGTTTTTTCGTGCCTCTGCATCTGACATTATGCGTGTTCCTATTCTTAACTTTCTTCGAGAGGACTTTATTTTCTATTGTTTTTTGGTTGCGAAGAGATTAATAGGGGTATAGTGATTTCGATTTTTCTTTTTAATTTCTTGCAGTAATTTCATATTATGTTTTGTGTGAGTTTGATTTCATCTGTTTTCATTGGGATTGTTTTGTAAATGACCCAAAAGTTGAATCTATTTCGTTAGGGTTTTTATCCCTGTGTAAATCGTATATTTGGATTGCAGGTGATGGCGAGGATTCAATGTCTTGCTTCACGATTGGGCTGTAAAACGACGTTGTTTCTCGCCTTCACCGTCAATTCTGATGAATGAATTTGCATCTTCTTCTCCGGCCTCCACGAAGAAATTGTCCATTTCTTTTGCGCTGTTGCGTTTCAGGTTTTGTCTATGCCTCTTTTTAACTCTCTCTGAAAGGGCTTTCTTTTCCTGTAGCTTATGTTGAAGAAATCGATTGGGGTTCGGTGATTTCGATTTTTCTTTTAAATTTCTTGCCTCATTTTCATTTTCAGTTTTGAGTGGGGTAGACTACATATGTTTCTGTTGGTATTGTTTTGAAATTTACCAATAGTTGAATCTATTTTGCGCTAGGGTTCTTATGCCTCTCTTAATCGTGTTTTTGGGATGCTGGTGATGAGGAGGATTCATTGGCTTTCTTGACCATTGGAGTCTTTGTACATGCAAACCAGAAGTTGACTGTTTTAGATTTTTCATTCTGTTTCCATTGCCGTCAGTGTTCATTTGTTTGAGACTACTTAATTTTTGTGGGTTTGGTTTGCCCTGCTGCTGACAGGTTATGCTCTTTATGTGCCTTGGCCTTGATTTTGCTGAGGTTTTATGTTCCTATGTGTGGGATCTTCATATACTATTAAAAGTGTTATCAGACAATTTAATTTGTAACCTATGTAATTGATTTTTGTGTTATCAGACAAATTTAATTTGACGAGATTTATATCCCTCTAGGGTACGTTTTTCGTGTCAGATAAGCTTTGATGCAGTGTGTAGAGCGCGTCCCCTTCCGAATTTCCACACGCCGTCAGCAAGGGAAGTGGCAGAACCGATCTCTTAGCCATAGCTTCATAGCACGAGCTTCAACTCTCTAATGGTGTGTTTCTTTCTTCTTCATTTTTCGTTTGAAAAGCTTGAAGATTTTTTTACTTGAGCAATTGACTGAACAATTGATTAGAGAGTAAAAAATGTGAGTGGAGAGAATTGATTTAGAGGAAGAAAAGAGACGCATAGATATGAAAATAAATATTGATATCTCAATGTCCCAAATGAAACAGCTGTAAAAAAAAAATCACCCTTCAAAATTCCTTATAATTTATTTGTGACGCATAAAACTTTTTCTTTAATACTATCGTGTTTGGATTATTTCTTGCGGAGTGTACACGAGTGTTAGATAGCTTGCGGAGTGTACACAACTGTTACAATATGTTGAGTTTTTCAATCATAAAAGTTCCATAGATCAACAAATTATGTAATTTGCAAGTACCATGTAGAGGAAATCCGAAAAGTATTCGAATGAGATATGGAGTCATGTATCTTAATTTGAAAAACTGTCACAGATGTACGGTTTTATTTACGGAGAACTAGACTTAATATGGGCGAATGCGAGATGTTTTGCTCATGTCCCTTTTTTCTTCGATATATAACACTTAAAACTTGTGATCTGTGAAGTATAGGGATATAACTTCAAGTCTTCAATGTTATATCCCTAAGAAAAAGAAAAAGTTGCCAACATAGAGTTGTAGACGGGCATTGTATTACTGAACTCAAGAATGCTTTACCTTGAAAAATATCTTGAACAAATAACTATAGTATATATTTGTGATGATCTTTTTCTATTAAGATAATGAATGCCTCTTTCATTTACTATTTTCTTCTTAATGGAAATATTGATGTGTATTTGCCTATTCATTTGATCCACTGGGGGTAGAAACTAAATAAATCATACTGAAAGCTCTTTCTAATGTTTTGCCTAGGCCATTGCTAATTGCCAGAATCCTAATGGAAAATCATGTTCAGCCTGATGTTAGTGCATAATATAACCGTAAAAGTGCAAATATTTTGCAATACATTTCTTTGTTACGCTAACAATCTTAACAATAGAAGTTCATCGCTTTGAAAAATAAGTTATCCACGCTTGATACAATTTTTTTTTTTTTTCTTTTTTTTTGTCAGTAGGGGGAATTAGAGGAGTGGAGACATTTTTCCCACTCTATGGAGTTTGATCAAATGCATTGTTGTTCAAATTAGACGAGATTTGTTCTGCCCATGTTTTTTCGCCGGACTAAATTTGGCGGCAACTCAGTAGAGATTCGTATCAATGATTTTTAAAGCACAATAGTTGGTTTAGATATGTTTACTATTTCAACTTTTCACTGTTGAATATAGGATGGATTGTAACTGTTTGATTCATTTTAGTGAAAGGAAAAACATTCCCTCAGACTAAGTTTGATTGCTGAAATTCATTCCTAGAGAGACGATACTACATTTTTGCCTAATAACAATTTTCAATATATTATTAACCTGAAAATTTAATCAAGAAACAATTGTGGTGTTGCAGGTGACAACCACTGGAGAAATGGTGGAGATGTGGATGAGAATTCAAAATCTGTTCGGGGATATTTTACGGTTAGTTCTTCGCTAAGGCATGACAATATCTTTTAATGTTCTTGTAATGTCACAGGCAAAGCATCTTTTAAAACTTTTAGATGGTTTTTCAATACTATCTTCTCATTTGCAATCAACTTCAATATCAGTTTATGGGAATCACCTTTATGTTGCAAAATTGGTGATTCTCGAACTGTTATAATACATAATTATATATTTGCATTTGAACAAAGATGGATTTTCTTTTTATCATGTTTTCTGATTTTGGGTGCAATTTATATTTGCATGGGAATTTCATGTTAGATAACTAATCTACTCTTAACTGGTTGTGGATAGTTGATTGCCTGAATAAACATATTACCGAATTGGATTAAGGAATTGGGATGTTGAACCAGTTTTTGGGTTATGATATTTGAAGTAATCAGACATCATTAATGTTAGAGTAAAATACCCGGCTATACTCTTATAAAAAGAAGCAAGAGGCTTCTTTGTTTGACACGTGTTGCCTCATTTCTAAGAGGCCTCGTCGCTCTTATGCAAAACGTCGCCGTTTCATATGTAAAACGACGTTGTTTTGTCTAGCTTTGGGACGACGTCGTTGGGGCGTAAAATATTCTGATATTGACCGCTAAAATCACTCTTTCCTCTGCATTTTTTCTTCGCCAGGCAGATTCGCCCAAAACCACGCTCGTTGTTTTGTAAGCTGAATTTGTCGATCGAAATTGGTATGAAAAATGTTCAATATTTTCGTTTTTTTTTTTTTTTTTTTCAATTCCCTATGTTTTTAGATTATTGCAGTCTCCCTTTGCGAACAACCACAAGAGAGAGGTTAAATTAAAGTGAAAGCTTCATATAATAGGGACACATGGGGTGGTTGGAAACTGGATTCTGATACGTTGTAAGTTGATATTATGCGTCAATCAGTGAGCTTCAAAACAAATAAATAAATAAAGGCAAGTAAATAAATAGAGGCAAGTGCAGGTGGGTTGTCTTTTGGAGCAAAAGTTAACCTTTATTTAAATTTACTCTTTTAACTTTCTGGAATTTCCATGTGCTGGCCACATATCATTGTCTTGGTGTAACATGAATTCTTTGTCGTGAAGAATATATGGGGTTCATATCGTAAGCAATGTACTAAAAATTGGCCTAGGCGTTGCTTATGTGTTAGACCTACTCCAACCGATACCCAAAACGCAAAATTTGAGGTAAAAACTCTCCAACCGAACAGCAAACTCATACGCAAAATGGGTTTTTTGCTTTCTCTCTCCTCCTTCAAACGCAAAAATGCGTTTGGACCCAAAAAATGCGTCTGAATTTTTTAAATTGCACTCAACTCCAATCTTGTTTCTTTTATTACATATTGATCAAGATTATGAACAAAATTCATACCTATATTTGTACATATTTTTATCTAACTTCTTTACACATAGTAAAACACTATTAATATTTTGTAACACTATCCCAATATACCCCACATATTATATACATAGTATATAATAATTATGTTTAATCTTTTATAAGTTAATTTTACACATTATAGTAATTATATATATTATATTTAATAAATATATTTAGGAATTATTGTTAAGTTAAATACTGTTTTATTTATTTTTATTATATATTATTAGTATTAAAAAAAGGTACAAATCATAATATTAAGATTAAAAAGGCTACTAATTTAAAAAATAAAAAAAAAAAAAGTAATAGTTTTTAAAATGTGAATATATGCGCTAGACCATATATGGTATAGAGTGTAAATTTGTACTAATACAATGAAAAAAGTAACAGTTTTTAAAATGTGAATATATGCGCTAGACCATATATGGTCTAGAGTGTAAATTTGCACTAATACAATGAAAAAAGTAACAGTTTTTAAAATGTGAATATATGCGCTAGACTATATATGGTTTAGAGTGTAAATTTGCACCAAATCATATATTTTCAAATTTGCACTAAAAAGTAACAGTTTTTAATTTTAATTACATAAAGTCCAAATTGAATTTAAAATAATAGTGTGGTTTAATTTGTAAAATTGTGAAATATGTGGGTAGTATTGAAAAGTTATAAAAGTTGGTGTAAAAGATAATATTCTGGGAATATTCTTTTGGGTTTGAGAATGAGTTTTTCGGTTGGAGATGAATTACTGCAAAATGGGATAGTTACTGCAAAATGGGTTTGAGTTTGGGTTTTTCGGTTGGAGATGGCCTTAGACGATGTCTGGTAGTCTCCAATTTACACAAATCATCTAAAAAATTGGTCAGCCAGCTAGGATGCGCCTAAGCAAGACTAGGCGCGGAAGAGGGACGTCTACGCTGAACTAAGCGCTTCGAGGCGGACTCGACATCAATTGTAATTTTTTGTGTCATGTTTTCTTTATAATATATTAATATTATTATCTGGACTTAGGTGTGTTGATTTATTATAAATTGAGATAGAGTATTGATTTACAAGCTTTGCCTAGGTGCTCTATACGCTGGTCGAGCACCTAGCGACTTTAGAATACTAAATGTACGTGTATCAAAGAATATTAAGGTAATTTTCGGAGTAAGGAAGGAGGTTCCACTAAGCATTCACATATACCTTTTTAGATTATACTAGCTAAAAATAGATAAAGATATATGATAATTCATAAGTTAGCTGAAGAATTGAAATGAAT